GGCCATTCCTTATGAGACGACGTGGAGGACATATAGAGGGCCTAAAATCATTCCTGATGAGAGCTGATTTCTTAGTTTAATAACATGTTGTGTGTATGTTTTCACTTAGGATGTAGCTGATTTCTTGTTTTACATTGTGCAATGAACATATATCATGGAGGGACACAATCAGGGACTGCCACGAGCTGACCCTTTTGTCCTAACACTTCAGGGCACCCATCGGAGCCGTGACATATGGGAGCAGTCAGTAAGTTTTCATCTACCAAATCTTTAATCTTTTTGGCAATTTTTATGTTAATTAATCTAACAATGTAATTTTGTGGGTTGTACAGGTTGATCCAGCACGGTGCTTGCTTTGCAGGCACCACGTTGGCAGGGCGGTGGAAGATTGGGTCGTCAACCCGCGTGTACTACATTACATTAATTTTGTGGGTTTTCGTGGATTTCATAGGATGGCCTTCACACCTATAGATCGAGCACTAATTATTGCGCTCGTTGAGAGATAGAGAAAGAGACTCACTCCTTCCATCTACCAGTTGGGGAGGCCACCGTCACGCTCCAAGATGTGGCGATACTAACACGACTCTCAATACGTGGTAGGGCAGTGGCAGGGCCCATTATACTGGACCCTCGTGGCCTTGTTGAGAGGGTGTTAGGGGTGAGGCCTGAGGTCGCCGATATTAGAGGCACGGGGTTGAGACACATGTGGTTACGAGAGACATTTGGGGTGTTGTCGCCTGATGCTAATGATGGAGTCGTTCAGAGATACGCTCGAGCGTACTTGTTTATGTTGATAGATTTGTTATTTAGTAACAAGAGTGGTAGCCACATACAGTTGATCTACCTACAGCAGTTAGAGAACAGCTGGGAGCGGATACGTGACTACAGCTGGGGTAGTGCGTGTCTGGCGAACTTGTATCGCGATCTTTGCAGAGCATCCCAGCGAGATAGATGGGAGATCGGCGGTCCCTTGATTGTGCTTCAGGTAGCCATTTAATTTCATACCATTTTTTAACTATTACGTACTTAACGATGACTAAACTTAACTTGTGCTTTTTATTACAATTATGGGCTTGGGAGCACATCCACGTTGGTAGGCCAACTAGGGCTGCTAGCCGTCAACGGCAGGATGGCTAGGAGGAGGAAGACGATCAGGAGCATGCATATGAGGCTCCGCCACTCCCTCCACCAAACATGGCCTACGGTTGCAGGTATGTTTGACTTATCGTTAAGTTTAATAATTTCTCATGAACGCTGTTATTATATATAATTAGGTGGCTGGTGCGGAGACTTACTCATGTGCATGCAGCGAGGGGTTTACCGTATTACAGAGACACATTCGACAGACTGAGCGAGTCTCAGGTGATCAATTACACTATAAAAACTAATTTAACACCTCGTTCATTGTTTCAATAAGTTAATTACAATGTTACTGACGGTGTGTTAATGCAGATGATGTGGGATCCGTACGTCACTGACTTAGTCGATGCCATGCCCCCATATCCTCGTGATCATCAGATGGAGTGGCGTGCCATGACAGTCCTCGTCTGTTTTGAGGTAGTGGAGGCTCACCTCCCCGATAAAGTCATGCGACAGTTCAGCCTTCGTCAGGCCGTCCCCGCCACGTGTGACATGAGTGTCCACTTGCACAGGACAGACCGACGAGGAAAGGGGGACGTGAGCTGGGTAGTTCAGCATGCCCCTTTCATTGACATGTGGGATCAGCGGTTGCAGCACATCGTGGATGGTGCGCCTTTCCAAGGCCGGATGGAGTATCACGATCCATACATGGTATGGTACAGGAGCATTACCCGACGCTTCATCAACCCTAACTACACCCCACCCTCAACTCATTATCAGCCAGCTTTTGGAGACATCAGTGGATATGTGAGTTTTAGATGGATTTTTTTTATCAATTTATGATTTCTGATATTATTAAATTGACTGATTGTTGACTTATGCAGGCGTTTGATATGCTGGCTATACATGATGCACTGGGAGTCTTGAGCATATCATATCCCACCATACCGCAGATAGATGAAATTCAGGCAATGACTGTGAGTAGCTTATAGAGACATGGTCATGGTCAGGCGGGACCAATCACAACAACGTTCACACCGTGAGGTAGGCGAGAGTATTAGGGGAAAGACTCACACGTCCCCTATAGCGTCCTCGCAGTTTTTTGACATTCAAGAGGATTTCGCCGTACCCTTGTCTGCGCCATACTCATCATAGGATGGACAATCATCCAGCCAACAGACTCCTCCCCAGACTTCTGCCCCAGATCCTTTCACAACGGTATCTTAGTACTATCGTCGTCGAAGACCGCGAGTTGATGGACAGCAATTACGTCGAATAGATGAATCAGGATCTTAGAATTTCTTTTGTTAGTTTGTTGTAATCGGATTCTCTAGTACGTTGTATCCAAACAAATATTATCAATATCACTGACTTTTTTAATTGATTTTCTGGCCATTATCAACTTCACCATACGCATTCATTCCTTTCATTGAAGTGGTTGTTGTTGTTGTGGTTGTTGTTGTCGTTGTTGCTGTTGTTGCTAATGTTGTTGTTTTTGTGGTTGTTGTTATCGTTGTGGTTGTTGTTGTTGTTGTTGTTGTGGTTGTTGCTTTTGTTGATATTGTTGCTGTGTTTGTGGCTGGTGTGGTGCCTGCAGTCTGCAGCCTGGGTGTTGCAGGGAAAACGCCAACCAGGCTAGCGTTTTTACCTTGGCCAATTTTTGTAAAAATATCAGCCATGGTAAAAATGCCACCCTAGATGGCGCTTTTGCCTTGACTGAAATTTTTTTAAAAAAAATTTGGCCAAGGTAAAAACGCCACCCTGGATGGCATTTTACCTTGGAAGCTTAATTTGGTAAATAATTTTGCCGCGCGTCTACTATGGAGTATTGTTTCTCAATAAAGCTTCCTTGGGTAATTTTTCCTAATTAATGAGTAAACTTGGAAATCGAATTTGGCTTTGGATTGTTTACTATTCAAGCACAGTGTTTATACAAGGAGTGGTATAGTATTCTTGTGTACCTGGTACTTTAAAATGGGTAAATTAATTAGGAGTTGTCCTTAGCTTAGCTGTGTTTATATATTATAAAATTCTTAGAAAATAAGATATTTATTCTAGGATTCAAGCAATTTTTATGGTGTGCCTTTTTCTGGTATTAAAATATATAGAAAATGTCATTTGCTTTATTTTTTCACCTTTTATATATTACTGTTTTGGTTTATGTATGTTTAGTTCTATTTTTCTCCTTCTTTGTCCTGTGAGAAAAAAAGGTTGGTACTGTGAAATCTTGGCTGAGGTTATTTAAAATAAAGAATAACAAAATCCTAATGAAGAAATAATAAACTAATTTCTTTTTTTTTTTTTTTGGTGAGAAGAAATCTCAATTTATGATTCAATAGAAGTTCAAACTAAAAGAGCTTTATTATCATATATAAAATTCACAAATTGAAACTTAAAAACGAAAATCGACGTACGATAACTAACATAGTAGAAATAAATATAGATCAAACTTGTTCCCGTATCACTCATTCATTTCTTTATTAGCGCGCTCTTGGCCTCATACTCTTTCTCTTAGTCTTTTTCTTTCTTTTAATTCTTCTTTTCCCAATTCCATCCTGTAAAAGGCTTTGAAAATTATAGATTACACTTGCATCTTTTCCCCCCAACCCCTCCCTCCCTCTCTCCCCAGTCCCCTTTAGTTTTCTTAACTTCTCTCTATCTGCCTCTTTCTTCCGGCTTCTTTATCTCTTTCTCTCTCAAGCCTTCTTTCTCTCTCTCTCTCTCTTTCTATCTCTCTCTCTCTCTCCTAGCCCCTCTTTTCCTTTATTGCTCTATTTCTTTCTCTTTCGACCCTTATCGCTCTCTCATGGCCCTCTTATTCATTCTCTCTTTAGTTCACTCGCTTTTTCTCCTAACTCCTCTTTCTATCTCTCTCTCTTCTTTCGGCTCCTCACTCCCAAGCCCTTTTTCTCACTCTTCATCTCTCTCTTAATCCCTCTTTCTCTCTCTCTCTCTCTCTCTCTCTCTCTCTCTCTCTCTCTTAACCCCTCTTTCTTTCTCTCTCTCTCCTGACCTCTCTCCTCTCTGGGTGTGCCCCATCCTCTTCTCTCCTAGCTTGCCCTATATCCCTTGGCCCCTTTCTATCTCCCAGCCCCTTTCCTATCTCTCGACCCCTCTCTCACATTTTGTATAAATTTGCAAAGTTTATAGTGAATTCCTCCGTGCATATATACCTAGCTCGCCTACCTGCAATCTAACCTAAAATTAAATAAAAAGGAATTTGTTAGGCAGGCATATGTTTTAATCTTCCATTAAGCAACTTTACTAAACTAATGAACAAATAGTTGCTATCTTTCATATAACAATCTTCCCAAGATGGCAAAGAAACAAAGTAGAAGAGTACCATGCCCAATTTCCCCATGGCTCCACCTTTAAAAATTAAAGAAGACTAAATACTCCATGTAAGGGGCAGTATTTAAAGCAAGCATTACACATCAGAAGATAGTATGTATTACATTCTAACTGCAGATAAAGCATTACACAACAGAAGGTATGTATTAGATTCTAACTACAGCGAAAGTATTACACAGCAGTTGAAGGTATGTATTACACTCTATCTACAAAGAATCTATCTACAAAGAATCATATAGCAGCTAATTACACAAAAATTTTGCTTTGATAAACCAACAAATATAGTAGAATATTAAGCTTTCGGTTACCAGTTTCCGTCGGGCATAATATGCTTTAAGTTCAAACAAAAAACATAGATCTTGACACTTTAGAACACCCATATACAAAATCCTTGAGTGATTCCAAAACACTTGCAAATTTGATAAAAAGAATCAAGAAATACAACTCCATTCTTAATAAGTTAATTTCATCCTTCTTTTGGGGTTGTCTAAAAAATATAACACGTTTCTATTTCAAGTAACAATAGCTCAGAAGGGTTGAAGAAACCGTAAAAAGAAGTGATTGACAAGTGCATGAATAGGTTGTGGGAGTTTTGAAAAGGAGTAGACTTTCTTGAGAAAAGCTACTTTCTCTTTCCTCTCTTCATCACATCATCCCCTTTTTTGTATCCACTTGACAATATTTCTAACTCTTTCTCTGTCTATCCACCACCATACTTTTACCGGCAAAAATAAATATTCTAGATTTTTCAACCAAACAAAAATGTGGTAAATATAATATAAGAAAGGGTGGTGCACCACACAGACGAGACTACTAAAACAATGGATATTAAATAGAATGGTAAAACAAAAAAGCAATATATAATATGTAAATTACAATACTAAAAAGAGACGTCACGTGGATAGGAGTGCCAGTGAGACACCATCTAGAATAAGCAGTTAAAGCATTCTCATAAAAGGCACTCTTTATGAAACATTAAAATTTTCACAATAGGTCTTAGACTTGTTAATCAAGTTGTCTGTGCTAAGTGTTTATTTTAAAGCTTTATGATAAAATGTTTTAAAATGTATGAACAATAGTCTATTAGCAAATTTAACTCTTTGCTAATGCCATTTGATAGGATGCACATTCTGAGGTTGATTCTGCAGCACACTCCATAGGAGGGTAAAGAGCCTGAACTCTTTGAGTTTTCAGCATTCATTGAGCTTGAAATCGTAAAAGAGCCTTCCTTGATCTCCTCCTCTTTTGCTCTGAAATTTAACAAAGCAGACCAACAGTAGGAAATATGATCATTCTCATAATCAGCTATAAACCTATCGGAATTAGCTGTCCTTGCCCTGGGATCAAATCTCATGTTTGGATGATTTACTTTATTTTGCTTCAAAATGTCAGCTAACAGAAGCCAACTCATCCTTCCAATTCCCCACCTAATTTTAGGAAGAAAAAGAACACATATTCAGAACAAAATATTTATTTTAATGCCCCGTGAGCATTGATTGTGTTCATTTAAAATACAAAGTGGCAAAAATCCTACAAAAATCAGAAAGCTCATAACCCTCAGATATTGTTTGAAGCCCACATGTACACACACTGGAATTAACCAATAAAATTAGTGCAGAGAGTAATAAATCATCCTTAAAATACTTCTTACTACCAGTTCCCCGCAAAAAACTCAGACTAATCACATAAAGTACAATTTATGCAGAGGAAGATAATCCTATGCTGCCACATGAACTACACATCTTATTACTACCACTTCCCCGCAAGAAACTCAGACTAATCACATAAAGTACAATTTATGCAGAGGAAGATAATCCTATGCTGCCACATGAACTACACAAGATCCTGAACGCTAGATATTGCCTGTTTGTAAACTTAAGCAGACACCAAGGACACAAAGGGATAACAGGTATGAGCTACTATGAGATGATTCAACAGGAAACAAAGCCTACATACGTACCAATGTGAAGAAAACTGTAGACACAAAAGACCGAGCACAAAAAGAGAAACAGCAGCAGCTACAGTTACAAGCAGTCTTGCAACTGGCCTTGGAAAAGCATCCTGACAAACAAAAAGAAATTAAAAGAGAGGTTAAAAGTTCCGTTGCTCACCCTCATTAAAACAGCAATAAACGACAAAAATGAACAATTTTATAAAGTCTCTGAGACAAAGCAAATTGATGATCACATAGAATCCTCAAATCACAACATGAGTTATGTGCATCAGTGGTATAGCCACAGTCAAAGCACACCCTCATTATCTACTATCTCTCTCTTTCTATCTCTCACTCTCTTCCCTAAGCTAATTGCCTTGATTTTCTTAAGTGATCATTCTTAAGTGGTCTCTTGATTTTTAAGTGATCTTCGTTAAGTGGTCTCTTGATCTTCTTAAGTGATCTCCCTCTCACTCTCTCCCTATCCTAAGTAATTGCCTTGATTTTCTTTCCTAAGCTAATTGCACTACTTTTGTTAAGTGATCTTTCTTTTCTAAGTTATCTTTCCTATTAAGTGATCTTTCATTTCTTAAATGATTTTTCTTCCTGTGTGATTTTCTTTCTTCTTAAGTTATCTTTCTTCTTAAGTGATCTCTCTCTCTCTCTCTCTCTCTCTCTCTCTCTCTCTCTCTCTCTACCATTTAGTAACTCTTTTTCTTAAGCTAATTTCTCTTATTTTCTTAAGTGATCTTTCTTAGTGGTATCTCTTTTTGCTAAGTGATCTTTCTTAAGTGATTTCTTTCAAATAATAATTCTAAAGTGGTCTCTCTCTCTCTCTCTTAAATGATTTTTCTTAAAAAATTAGCTAAGAAAACACAATTAGCTTAAGTGATCTATCATTTTAGTAAGCCTTTTCCTAAATTAATTGCGCTTTCCCAAGCTAATTGCTCAAATTTCTTAAGTGCTCTCTCTCTCTCTCTCTCTCTCTCTCTCTCTCTCTCTAGCATTTCAATCTGTCTCTTCCTAAGCTAATTTTGTTTTTCTAAGCTAATTGTCTTGATTTTCTTAAGTGATCTTTCTTTAGTGCTCTCTCTCTCTCTCTCTCTCTCTCTCTCTCTCTCTCTCTCTCTCTCTCTCTCTCTCTCTCTCTCTCTCTCTCTATCTATAGCATTTCAATATGTCTCTTTCTAAGCTAATTATCATGATTTTCTTAAGTGATCTTTCTTTAGTGCTCTCTCTCTCTCTCTCTCTCTCATTAAGTAAGCCTTTTTCTAAGATAATTATAATTTTCTTAAGTGGTTTCCCTCTTCTAAGTTAATTGCCTTGATTTTTGTATATGAACTTTCTTAATTGGTCTCCTATCGCTCTAAAGCCAATTGACCTTATTTTCGTAAGTGATTTTTCTTAAGTGCTCTCTCTCTCTCTTACATGATTTTCTTAAGTGATCTTTCTTGTGTAGTCTCTCTTTCTCTCTTGCATTTTCGAAAGCTTTTTTCCTGCGTTTTCCTAAGCTAACGCACTAACTTTCTTAGGTGGCCTCTTGATTTTCTTAAGTGATCTTTCTTTTCTTAAGTGGTCTTTCTTTTTCTCAAGTGATTTACTTCTGAAGTGATTTTTCTATTCTTAGTGATCTTTCTTCTTGAGTGATCTTTCTTTTTCTTGAGTAATTTTCTTCTTAAATGATTTTTCTGAAGTGGTCTCTCTCTTTCTAGCACTTTAGTAACTCTTTTTCCTAAGCTAATTTCTCTTCTTTTTTTTTAAGTGGTCTTTCTCAAATGATCTTTCTTAAGTGGTTCCCCCCCCCCCCTCTCCCTCTTTCTCAAGTGATTTTTCATAAGTGATTTTTCTCTCTCCCCCCCCCCCCTCTCAAGTGATCTATCTTGAGAAATTTGCTTAAAAGAACGTAAGTAGCTTAAGTGGTCTCGCATTTTAGTAAGCCTTTTCCTAAGATAATTACTCTAGTTTTCTTTAGTGAGATCTCTCTCTCTGTCTAGCATTTTAGTAAGTCTTTTTGTAAGCTAATTGTGTTTTCCTAAGCTATATGCCCTGAATTTCTTAAGTGGTCTTTTTAAAGTGGTCTCTCTCCCTCTCTCTCACACACACATGCCTTGATTTTTTTTTTATGTAATCTTTCTTAATTGGTCTCATTCTCCAAATCCAATTGACCCGATTTTCTTAAGTGATCTTTTCTTAAGTGGTCTCTCTTTTTCTAATTGCCATTATTTTCTTAAGTGATCTTTCTTATGTGGTTTCACTCTTTCTCCCTCTGATGCATTTTAATAAGCGTTTTTGTAAGCTAATAGTGTTTTCGTAAGCTATTTTCCTTAACTTTCTTAAGTGGTCTTTCTTAAGTGGTATCATCTCTATCTCTCTTCCCTAAGCTAATTGCACTGATTTTCTTAAGTGATATTTCTTAAGTACTCTCCCCCTCCCCCTCCCCCTCCCCCTCCCCCCCCCCCCCCCCCCCCCCTCAAACTAATAGGCATAATTTTCTTAAGTAATCTTTCTCAAGTGCTATCTCTCTTTCTCCTAAGCTAAGTGCTCGGACTTTTTTAAAGCATATTTCCTAAGTGCTCTATCTCTCCCTCTCTCTTCTAAACTAATCATCATGAGTTTCTTAAGTTAATTGCCCTGATTTCTTAAGTAAATAAAGTAATCTTTATTAAGTGGTCTCTTTCTGTAGCATTTTAGTAAGTCTTTTCCTAAGGTCATTTCTAATCTATAATTGCCTTAATTTTCTTAAATGGTCTCTCTCTCTCTCAAGTGATCTTTCTTAAGAATTTAGCTTAAGAAAACTTTTAAAATATTTTGTTTGATCTTAATGATAATAATACCAATAACCACCAATACATTCCTCTATACAATCAAGTACACATTCATACATACTCGTTTCAAGCACAGGACTTCCAAAAATGATAAAATTACCAATGTTCATCTCTGCATAATGCAGCGTAAATTCTATTGATGTAAGCTAAAGCATTATCAAAGTGAAAAAACCTTCAGTTTAGATGATAGTTTGTTATAAAAATACTTTATTCTGTCTTGATCCAACTCTGTTCACTGATTGTTTTCAAAGTATAATTATAATGACTTGTCGAAAATTCATAGAAATTTGATCAACAACCACATTCTTGACATTATCTATGCCTAAGATAAATGCAGAATATACTGAATAATCTTAGAAAACCAGATAGTGATAACAAGAAGTTAACCTGAAGTGTGACACTATTTATATGTCCAGTTCTTCCTGCCTCGGCATTTAGACTGTAGTTTGAAAGAAAAAATTCAAAGCTGCCACCAATGAAAGCCACATCCAAATTATCATGATTGCCTCTAAAGATCATAGAAGATGCTCTTGTCAAGTCAACTCTTCTTGACTAAATCTACCATCACATCTGGGTACTCCACCCACTCTTGTTCATTCTGTTTTGTGGTTAAGAGACCTTTGCTCTTCCCATCTAGTTGAATAAGAAAACAATATATATCAGTGTATCAGAAACCTTAAGGTTTACGGAAATTCTAGCTTGCCTAAGGTATCACAAAAGATATCCAACAATTAGAACAAATAGCGATTACCAGTTACCAAAATGACATAAGATTCACAAGCACAAAAGATTATTATCAAAAAAACATAGACTATTAGATATCCGGACAATAATCAGGATCAAACCAAATAGCAATTTACTCAAAACTTAACACTTATTACTCGCCAAACAACAACTCACACATAATACAAAACACCATTTTTAAAACAAGATCTGATCCAGAGTGACAAACTAACCATGTAAATTTACTAAAAGCAATCTCTGCTCTTAGCTTATAGAATAAAGATTATAAACCATCACATTGAAAGGAATCACATGTATCAAAGTTCAGAATGCATAATCGGAATCAAACAACATAATAACATATTAAAGTAGTAACACTGAGTCCTGTTAAAACAATCCTACACACACAAAATACATAGCACCAATCTAAAGCAAGATAGATATGATCCACAAATACTAACCAACCACTTAGATTTTCTGAAAAGTAGCTTTATAAAAGTAGTAACTCTAAGTCTAAAGGATATATAATGTCTACCACTGCCTTGACCAAAATAAGCTTATGGTTTACAGAATCAAGCAGCATGTTAAAAGCATCAGATATATTAGTGTTCAGATTTTTATTGTCTAAAATGGATATGGGCATCGAAAATGAAAATGTACATGAATTTAAGAAAAACAAAATACAGAGTAAAAGAACCAAGCAACCAAGATATAATTTCAAGTCCAACTTAGGATTTCTCTAATTTACCTTTATCCAACCAACATATAATTCCTAGTTCTACTACATAAGAAGCTTGTGTAGACAGGTCATATAGAATTTCAAAAGCATATGATCCAACTTACCCGCTCTCTTGCCAATGAATTGAACTTTTGGAGCAGAAATGCTTTGGGGTCCATTTGACCAGGAGGCCACCCAATTCCTATTCAAGGTTGCATTTATCAGCATATTAACAAATCTAACAAGCCATGGATCAAAACTAAGCAATTCAAGCATACCAATTCTAAGGCGAGCAAATTCTTTGTTCCCTCTAAAATGATCAATTACACTCTTCAGCCTGGAGTCACAATAGGATAAGTAATAGGTCACTTCCACTTGGTAGAGTTAAAATATAAAGCACTTCATATAAACCAAAAGAAGCAGATAGGCTTTAGTCTTAACTCTTTAAGTGTAACACAACACACTAGCGGATTTGTGATTCAACATAGTAAATTCCAAGAAACTAAAGTAAAACTAAGTGAGCACGTCAAAAGGTTCATGGACCAATTAATAGAAAAATATCAGCCATAAATAAGGTGAATGCAACCAAGATCCTCAAATACTCTACATAGAGTGCTATATTATAATTTAATCCTCTTTATGTAGTACCTAAGAGCTAAACTCTGAAGGAACAACAAACTGAGAAACAAACACCAGAGAAGAAAACATGGATATTCCCTTGCCCTATAAACAGCTCAGCTAACACATTTTCAATTTATTCCGAATTTCAAGGCATTTATCTACATTGCTTTTCCACGCTTCTGTAACAGAACATATAGCGCATGTGTCTTTCCCACACTTCAGACTGAATTTTTTTATGGCTTCATTTTAAGATACACCTTCAGCTAGACCTTAGTCCTTCTACTCTAGTCAAGAGGCATGCCATTTTAATTGAAGAACTTTTTTGAGCTACACATCCTTTATGTTAACACCAATTATCATTTAGAATCTTTGCTGGATAAGCTAAGTGGATAGGTCTATCTTTACACCCAATTCCTCCCCCTTATGTTTTGTAAACTACTGAGATTTTTCAGTAGCCTGACATGACAGTTTGAGGAGCCTAATTGCTTCCCATCATTGAATCTAGTAGACCTTTCATGATCAATAAAAACCTTCTTTAGGAATATGCACAACCTACTTCTACAATCAGCAGATGGCCATCACATCAACACCTTCAGGAACCAAACCTATCATTTCAAGCATTGAACCAACTTATCTTTGGACATTAAAGTCTTTTGAATCTCCTGCAATATCTCACTTGTAATGTCAGACCTCAATTAAACCCACCTAAACCAGACGCTGTTTATCTTTATGAATGTTAATCTTGAATGGTCATTTTCCTGGGGAATTACTATAGTCGATGGCCTCTGTTAAGCTTGACCAATGACCTAAGCACAATATCTATAAATGCACCCATGGCTTTATAATTGATTAAATCCTCAGGAATCATACTGACCTGATAGTGATCACCATGACCAGCTTGTATGATATCTAGTTGCACCTCTTGCAAAGAGCATCAGTCATCTGCAATTTCATAAGTAGAAAAATATTCAAAATTATATGAAAATAATAACATATAACAAAACTAAAAAGGGAAGTTTAAAAATTATTAAGCATTAATAACACCAATTAACATGTGATTTATAATATATTCTCAAACTTATAACATTTTAATAATATATTTAATACTTATATGGATATATCATTAAATTAATAACCAAGAATTTTATAGTAAGACAAGGAAAAAGTTTGGGCTTAAAAGCAATTAACACATTGCCGACACAACAAAAATTGACCTGCATTTTTTCTGCCTTCTCAGGCTGATTACAAGTAATCTCCTCTGTAGCTAAACCCTCAAAAACAGAGAACAGACCTCGCAATCAAGCACAGCTTACACATCGTGATCTTTACAAAGATAAAACATTAACCTAAATAGTTTTTCAAAAGCTAAGCTAGTGTTCACATTAGAATATAAACTACTGGATCAGATGTATCAACCAGCAAGAGTGTCTATAACGCTACTTCAATGGCAACAGACTCATCGCATACATTTTTTCAATTTCTTGCAGTCGCATAAAGATAAATAACTTATGATGATCATAACCATATGGATTAATGTTGATCAGATGGGACTTCTGGCCATCCATCCTAATAAATTTTTTTTTTTACCCTTGGTAAAATAAATATATATAAACTCACAGCTTCAGAGCCATGCTCCAGCAGAATAAAACCCCTGTCTCTTTCATCAGCAATAATCTCCAGTCGGGAAACCCAATAGCAACCAGAAATCGAGCTTTTAAACTGCAATAGCATGAATACAACAGGAATACACCAATAGATTAGATCAAAAGAGCAGCAACAAGTTTAAATTTCAACACATAAGATACTCCAACTTCCCCAACTCATATAAAATTATGATAACCTGAAATTGGAATAATTGAAATTAATATCATGAAACCTGTGATAACCAGCTAAAACAGCAATAAGCGACAAAAATGAACAACTTTATAAAACTATCTGAAACCAAAGCAAATTGATCATCACATAGAATCCTCAAATCACAAAGAAAATTGGAAGTATTGTCGAAATTCATATAACTTGTACAAGAAAAATAGGGGGGGGGGGGGGGGAGGGAATCAATCAATCAAAATTTCCAACAGTCATTTAGAGTATACTTAAGTGACTCCATTATTAAGAGAATAAAATGGGTGTTTATGTTTAACAATTGAAGAAAAAAAATATAGCTAAAGTGCCGGTACACACTCAAATATTTGCAATCACCAAGGAAAAATAAAGTTGGCACTCATATAACCTGCATTATATAATGTACAGTATGAGTAAATGTATACAGTTTTTTCCTACATAAATTTAAATGCTAATTTATAAACACAATGCAAAACAAATCTATCAATTATTAATTTGCACAGTAGCATATCTCAAATAACAACAAACTATAGAATGTCTCAATATTAAAATGATTAAGGGTGTGAATATAACTTGAGAATCTTGCTGCAAGTAACACTCTTAATCTATAAAATAACCTTCTTCCAAAACTTGTAAGTAGTTTCCTCCACCTGCCCACAATTTTTTTAGAAAAAAAGTAAAACTTACCCACAAAACATGCACGAAAACATCAGGGGTTTTGGGAAATTTAGATAATCTAAATTAATCTTTAAATCTATGTCCAAATAGTTCATCATACAACCAAAATTTCCTATAATTATTCAAAGACCGACATTAAAATTATAATGAGCTATCAATTAGTAAGTTATGGAGCCTTAATTTAATTTAGTAAGTATGTTGCTAGAAGGGGTTTTCACAAACTTTACATGAAGGGATTTGAAAAAAATGAAATTGGGTATGAAAAACAATAGAAGAAAAAGAAAAAGAGTAATCCATAAGTTTACCTTCAAAATTCCAATAGCAGACCGCAAGTACCCAAACCCTAGAAAATGAATTAAAAAAATTAGAAATAGAGAAGATCCAATTTTAAAGAAGCACGATAAATGACAATGTTAAAATCAAAGAAAAAAAGGGAAAAGGAGGATAGAGTAAATGAAGAAGATGATGAACACCATGGAGAGAGAAGAGAGTACCTGAACCAGCAAGATGATGAAAAAATTTCGACAGTTATACCGGCACAGCAGGAAGTCGAAGGATGTTTTTGCAAATCCCTTCTTCGAGACCATCCCCTCCCTTAAAACCTAAAAAATTATTGGATCTTATAAACAAAACAAAATAACATCTTGAAATTGCAAATGGTGCATAGGATACAATCCAATAAGCTGCTTCTACCGCAATAATCGTGTAACATAAGAATCAAAACTCGAATTAATACTATTACAATTGGAATTTCGTCAAATATAAAGTGCTGTAAATTAATTGAGAAATTCACTAAAGGCCCAACCAGAGTACTGTAAATTAATTGAGAAAAAAGTTACCTAAAAAAAAAATACCAAAAAGTCCCATAAAGTTGATGAAATTGAAGGTCCGACAAAGTAGTAGTAGATGAGATTAATGAAGAGGAAAGAGGAAGAGACGAACCGATGACCAAACCTCGAATCTGTCACTCACCGCATCCTATCTCATCTGGTTTAGATATCGCGTCATCGTCGTCAGCGTTGGTGGCAGCCAAGTCTCCCTCCAAATTGATCTTCGGAAATCTAAGCCTCCTACCTTTCCCTCTCTCCTACGATGAGGCGATACACGTACAATCATTGTATGAACGCCAATAAAAAAAATGTCAACTCATCATTAGCTAAAAAATGAGAGGGAGTAGTGAGTGGGAAAAAAGTTGTTTTCTGGCGCCATTTATTAGAAATAGACAGAATATTTTATGGATGAATTTTATTGGCGCTAAACTATCACATTATCAAAAAAATACATTTCGTTACTAAAACAATACATTACTTTACTAATAAATTCAAATTTGTTACTAGAGATAACATCTTCCTAGTCAGCGTCATTAATGATGAGAGATGTTTTTTATTAGAATTAAATAATATATCATTCGACGATATTTTACAAACTACGAATCAAAAAATTATTCTAAAAGAACCAATGAAATTCCTTTTTAATGTTTTTTATATAGGCATCCATATCGATATATTTTTGAAAATGTCATGAAGTTGGACAATTTTAACCTTATTATAGTTTGTAATATTATTAATAAGTGTTAGTATTTAATCGTTATTGTTACTACAAAAATTTCAAACAAACCCAAAATTATAAGTTATATATTTAAAGTAACTGTATAAAAATTAATAGGTGTTAGATTACAATTATACAAATTAACCATAATTTTACAACTTATTTCATTAACCAAAATGCTTGTCACTAGAAAAATTTTCCCAATGAAGGTACAAAAGTCATAGGGTGAAGGGTAAAAATAAATTTTTGAAAGGTTAAAATAAAAAAAAAGGAGGGCTAGAAACAAATCCCTTTGGATCGGAATACATAAAAATATACAATGATTTTCGCTTACTATAAAATCGCTCATATTTCTACAACTTGTTTCCCTAACCAACAATCATGCATGGTATTGAAAATATTTGATTTTGTGAAATTATATTTGACACATACGAAGATTAATTAGTTTCGCATAACTTGATTTAATCAACAATCGTTGTACGTAATAACATTCAAAATTACTTTGCATTTTCAATTATAATCATCAAAAATGATATATTGAGGCCTTTGAGAGTTACAATCAAGTGTTGTAATATTTAATTTATACATTTGAGGGTTTAAATCAAATCATTGAGAGTTTAAATCAAATCACAACTGGTTACACACAGTATAATTATTGTCACTTACTACTAAATATCCCATATGTTTACGACATATTTCTCTATATATATATAATAATAAATTGTTACTAAAAAAGTGTCATTTATGCATATAATATCTAGTTTTGGATACTATATTTTCATTTTTCGTTACTAGTTAATTATGTGGAAGATTAGATAATTCATATCCAGAACACGGGGAATAAATGTTGTGATTAAGGATGGGATTCGAAACCGGTACCAAATTTTCTGTGTAATAATTTATAAGCAGTGTTAGTAACCAACAGCGCGGGATATTCACCATGGAAACATTTTTCAAACTAAATATATATTATTCTTCACTGCATAGTAATTGATCACGTACTTGAAAGGAATGATGTCCTTCGAACAAGTGTATTATTCCGATAGAGGGATTAGAATTAATTAGGAAAGCTAATTATTCAGTGAGATAAAGTGATCGGAATGCCTAGCTGGAGGCCGCTTCCGATCAGTAATATTAATGTATAATTAATATTACAACTTGCTCTTGACTGAACCCTTTGGGTCACACCCAATCGTGTAACCGAACCAAAGCGACGAATTAATCCGAAGGATTAAATGAGTCGATAGAGACTTTACGACATTGGATTTCGAGCTTAGAACGTCGAAGCCGAGCGTCGAAAGTCGGTCGAAATTAAAAATCGATAAGACGGAAAAATCAGTCAAACAACAAGTAAACTTGCACCAAAGTGCTAGCCTCGCAATGGCCTAGCCGGGCTGCTGCCGCATGGCGCATGCTTGGCCGCAAGCCCAGCAATCATCGCATTACTTGGCTGGGCGTGTGCTGCCGAGCTAGTGCATGCGGGCTAGCAGCAGGCCCTCGCTAGCAAGGGGCCAGCAGCCAGCAAGGCTCGCTAGGCCTTGTTAGCGAGAGCAGCGCCCAGCGCTAGCAGCCTGCAAATGCTAGCGAGGCTTGCTAGCGCGGGCTGTGCTGCTGCATGGGCCACGCGTGCATGTGATGAGTATTTTATATATATTTTTATTCCCCGTCTCACGGTCATATTTGTGCTTATTTGAGCTCTGCAGAGCTATTTTTATTACTAATATTCGTTTTCTAGTGTTTTTGTATGTATTATTTTGTAGGAATTTGCATAATTATGATAATTCCCGAGCTTATTGAGCCACTATGAAGATATTGGAATTTGATCGTATTTTGTGACCGTATATTTGAAGCTCAAGACCGAAGTAGAGTAATTTAGTGTGGTGAATTAGGGTTCAACTAAAGAAGAGGGAGGTTCACATTATTATTACGAATCAATAGACCAAGTACGAGTAGAAGAAATTGGGCCGTTTCATTTGAAGCCCAAGTTACAATCCAAGATGCAAACCCACGGCTACCAGCTAGGTAGAATTGACCGGGCCCGATCGGGGGCCCAATGCCAGATCGGGCGAGCTTCTTTTGATCTGCTGCTTTCGTTAAGTCGGTCTTGGTATTTTTTTGTGGGTTATAAAAACCCGTACATTGGGGAGCAAAGGGGCAGCTTTTATTAGTTAGTTGTTGAGAATTAGTTTTATAAGTTTGATATTTTAGAGGATTCCTTTTTAAAGTACTAGTTTTTCGTAGGTAACTTGGTCAGACTTTTTGGCTTTTCGTTTTCTTTGTTTTTCTTAAGTTTATTTTAAACTTTTAATCTTTGTTACTTCTTTATTTTAGCTTATTAGTTTGTTAGAATCTTTATTGCTTTTATTTTAGCTTTTCACTATAACTGCTTTTACTTTAGCTTTAGTTTTGTAATTGTTTTCATATAAGTTTTTATTATTATTGTTTTTAATTTAGTTTTATTATTAGTTTCCATTATTCTTGCTTTTAATCATACTTTATTTAATTGCTTTGATTTCAATCATGCTTTTTATATATGCTTTGATTAGTTTAAATTTAATTATGTGTGAGTAATTAATTTCTAGGGTTTTAGGGGGATCCATAATTAATATGAAGGGATAAATTGTGTTGGTTGATTATTTGAAAATTGCATAATAATTTCTTATTGGATTGTTTTAATTCTTTACAATTAGATTATGAATCGAGCACATGTAATTTGATTATAAAAGTATAGCAATATTGAATTGATAAATCGAGTAGATTTTAATTTGATATTAAAGGCTATTTTCAATAGGAACTTAGATCTAGTAAATTGCGAGAACCTGTAGGTCTATGTTGATTAATAAATTGCGAGAGCCTGTTAATCATGTTATGTTTGCAATATTAATCGTTGATTGTTATGTTTTATCCCGGAGTATGAATTATTGGTGAACCTGTGACCCTAGGCCTTTTATTATTGATTGTTCCCTTATTTAATTATTGTCATAGTATAATTCCCACAATCTTACTTGTTCCCTAATAATTTAGATTATAATAATTAATTAGGAAATAGAAGAACGTTGTTTCCTTGTGGATTCGACCCTACTTCTCTATCTATATTATTGGTTAGAGGTCTTAGGAATTACTTTTGATTAAGAGATACGACTTTAACCTGTCAAAATTTGGCGCCGTTGCCGGGGAAACAGTTTTATTTTTATTTATGATTATTTTTGTAGTCTAGATTATTTTATTTCGTCTCAGAGAACGCTAATTCTTTGGTGCAGTTTCTCATATTTGTTTGTTTAGTTCTGTGTTTATGCCCAGGAGTTCTAGATCAAGTTACATTCCATTCGATCCTGAAATCGAACATTTTTTTCATAGACAGAAGAATCTTTCAGACAAGTACGAGCTACTTCCGAAGGTAATACACCTTTGGAACCCCCATCTGATTCTAGTGACACAGAAGTTTCTTCAGAACCAGAATCAGAGATGGCGAATCCGCCACCACCTCGCAAGCTCAGCGATTATTCGCAGCCGTCCCTGACAGATTTTCCATACCTTGCTCCTCCACCAAATCTCGAGGGTGTACAATTCAAGATTAAACCCCAATTTATTACTATGATCGAAAGGAAGCAATTTAGCGGAGCTAAGAGTGAAGATCCAAATCTTCATATTTTGGATTTTATTCAATATTCCAACACCATCAGACAAACTGGGGTCACGCAGGACCAAATCAGGGAGATTCTTTTTCCTTTTTCTTTATCTGGTAAAGTTAAATTATGGTATAATGGATTGAATAAGACTGCCCTTGGTATAACTAACTGGAATTCTCTTGCTATGAATTTCTACAATAAATATTACCCTGTACGCAGAGAGGACAGCTTTGTTGAGGAGTTTGATCCTAAATTTTTCCCAAGAAGTGGATGAAACTTTATATGAAGCTTAAAGATTTAAGGATTTGCAGAGAGAATGCCCCCATCATGGGATAGTACAGTGGCAGAAAATCCAAGCCTTCTACAACGGGCTTGGAAATTCATCAAGATTAATCCTGGACTCAGCAGCTAATGGAAGATTTATGAATCTTTAAAAGGATGTAGGAGGAATAGTTATTGAAGAGATGGCAATTCATAATTCCCAATATGGGAATCCTAGAGGCTTTTCAAACAAAGGGAAACATAATGTCGATTCCTTATCCTTTGTACAAGCTCAATTAACCTCTATTTGTCAGAAATTAGATAATATTAGTACTGCTATTCCTGCTTTCGTAGCTAATGTTTTTGCTGTTGGTACTAACTCTGCAATATTTTGTGAAAATTGTGGTCTTGTAGGTCATTGGGTGTAGGAATATAGGAGTTACTTGAGAAGATTAATGATTTTTAGACCTATAAGCAAATTAGTCCATACTCTAACACCTACAATGCAGGGTTAAAAAATAACCAAAATATGTCGTACAATAGTACGAATGTGCTTAACCCCCCACCACAAGTACAACAACCACAACAAAGGTATTACCAACCCCCACATCAGAGACCACAACAGGTTGCTACTCCTCCATCTGATTCTGGCCTATCAGAAATTAAAACTATGTTAGCCAATATGCAAAAGCACATGCAAAGTAGGGATGCGCAAATTGATTCGATGCTAGCTCATAATAAAAT